CTTCAGTTCCAAAACACAGCATCCTTAGAGATGAAATATGAATTGCACATGCCGGAGAATGGAGTAGTATCTACATTGTATTGGGAAGCAGTTAACTTGGGGCTGATGTTCATTTCCCTTTTTTGTAGTCAGTTCTTCATAATGATGTACAAAATATACATGTGTCCTGTCAAGTGTGAATATTGTAGAATTAGGCATCTGCCACTTTAAAAGCTGAAACAGGCAGTTAGGCAAGGTTATTGGAGTCATTGTCCCTGGGCTTTTAAAAGACACACATATATATACAAAACATATTTACTCAAGAGTTCCTTGAAATCAAAGATTTTCTCTGAGATCCCATAGGGCATGGAGTGGTCAACCTGTGGCTTACAAGATGGTTGGACAGCTATCAGCCCCAGTGAAGATAACCAATAGTTAGGGATTATGAGAGTTGTAGTTCAATGACATTTGGAAGGCCACAGGGTAGCCACCCCTGCTATAAGTAAAGAGGCAGCTGTACACAGTGTTTGATGGTCACTTTGCTTGATCTGTTGCTTGCTACTTGCAGTCCCAGTGTCAAGAGCTATGGAGATTAGGTTCTGCCCATGTAGGTTGCAGAGCCTGAAATGCTTCTAGCTTCCTGTTCAGATTAACTATCCCCAGTCCTGCCATGCTACCTCTGTCCTAATTCTGTGCATGACAATTGCTCCGTTGCAGGACGATGCATTTACACTTGGGAGGGCAGGAGGAGAAGAAATGACAAAGCAACCAATTAATATGTGTTCAAATCAGCAAAAAAGAAAAAGTGGTGTAGTAAAACAAGTGTCATACTTGGATTGATGAGATCTGGGTTCAAATCCCCACTCAAGCATGGTGCTTACCTTGGGAAAGTCACCCTCTCTTCCCCCTAACTTACCACATAGGATAATTGTGCTTGTCAGGATATAGAAGGATAGCACCAGGGTATGTAGTCCTGAGCTCACTGGCGTGTGATAAATAAATGCAAAAATGCACAGGCGTATGACTACACCCACCACCTCCTAAATCTTAATAGCAAAAACCAGAAGAATATTAAAGGGATCTCAAATTGGCATTGGTGCCCATTCAGGTTTCCAGATTTCATATCTTCATTCTGAACTGATATCTAGGGAAATGTTAGAAAGCAAGCTGCTGTAATGCAGAGGATGTTCCATTTCTAGATAGCTGCTGGATTTTGCACCACATAATCTGTAGTGTTCCAGAAATTAAATCTCATACATTGCAGTGGTAGTCCATCACTTAATTCTTGATGTGTTTTTTGTTTGATGGTGTTAACATCAGGCACATAAAATTGTGTAAGCCAAAATTGGTATTAATTATCCTGTGTCAGACAGTTCTAATACTTCTATTATTACTGTAATATGACTATATGTTTTGATTTTATTGCCAATCTATCTTTGACCTGTCCTTTTAATGACTGCAGTCTAATTTACAGTGTGCTTGCAATGCTATTGGATTTCCAAATGAAATGAAATAAAGTAAACAGTTCTTACGTTAAATTATTTAAGCTGCGAGTGAAATGAGGATTGCAGAAATACAAGTGCTTTGTCTAAAGTACAAACAGTGAAGTGATTTAACCTTTAAGCCAACCTTTATGTTCTTAAGAAAATAAGTGAAAACTCCTTGTGAAGAAAGGCCAAACTAGTCATTTTCCACAGATGCACATAACCATATCCCAACTGCCCTTTTTAAATAGGAAAGGCTGCTTTCAGGTAGCATAAATGATGGAGAGGGAGGGGTGCTTACAGTGGCGTAGTGTGGGTTGTCAGCACCCGGGGCAAGGCAAGTAATTTGCGCCCCCTAACCCGGGGCAAGGCAAGTAATTTGCACCCCCTAACCCCTAAACTGCCGCCGCTGCCAGCTTCTTCTTGCTGCTGCCTGGTCTGGTCTGGTGTGGTTCTCTCCCGCGCTCAGCGCTGCACTGGGCGGCCGCTGCACTGTCCCTCCCCCAGATAGTCCCTCGCTCTCTCTCCGCACCGCACGCCTGGCACCCACCCCCTCCACAGTGGGCGGCGACCCAGCGGCTCGGATTGGATTCGCACAGCCAGCACTGCAGTGAGAGAGAGTGAGTGAGCCAGGTAGGGGCAGAGAGCTGCGAGTGCGAGCGTGCCCCCCCCAGATGTTGCGCCCGGTGTGACCGGCCCCCCCTGCACCCCCCACGCTACACCATTGGGTGCTTAACGCTTTTCCCTGTCAATTGTTTTCATGCTCCAAATCCCTCCCCAGCAGCTTTCTCCCAAGTCAGAGTCCCTAAAGGGACCAACATGTGTTTTGGAACTCCAGTAGAGGAGGGCTGTTTGAAGGTGATAAATGGCAAGCAGAGAAATTATATAGTTGCATGTGTCTCTCTGTAAAGTTTAGCTCGGCCCTTTAAGGACACCCAATGTCCTTTTCCCTTTCAAGATGTTTTTCTAAGGCCTCATTCACCTACACATCACAGGTGTGTACTGAGGTTAATGCTAGGTTCTTAGATTATGAGGCTGCTTTGCTCTGTATCTTTAATGAGTTCTCCAAGGAAAGTTATATGGCTCTCACATTGCACGAACTTGCAAAAAGGAAAGCAGCTTCACACAGCTTTCCAGCTGGATATGGTAATTACTGTCTAAACAGGACAAGCTTACTGCCATGATGTGTGCAATGAGAGCAGCAGAGAATACCTCAAGTAAACGAGTAATGAGTCAGGGTCCTGGGGAAAAGAGTTGTTCTTAGATGTTATGGGTTTTATCCTGCCAAACTTGGCCTACCACAAGGTCTTGTGTCAATGAGCAATGCTAAAATCAGACATCAAACGTTGGAATAGACACAGCAGAACACACTAATTGCCCATTGCTGAGTAAGGACTTGGGATCACTATGTGGAAAGGAGATCCCAGCAGGAAAGTGAACCAGTCTGCTTCTGCTTCATCCTATTTCTACATTAAACTGTGGTTGTTGGTTTTTTAAAAAAATGAATGAAGTACATATTTAAACAAATGCTTGCTAACATTTATTTCAGAATATTTTTCTGAATGTTGCTTCTCTCAAAATACACATTTGTAAATGTCTTTAGAGGTGAGATCTTAATTGGAACATTCACAAAGGGGGAATCTGGAGGATAACATGTGAATATGGGAGATCAGATTAGTTCATATCAGAGTGTGCAAAGATCCATCTCCTCAAGCATTTTAACTTTATGCTCAGTAGGAATGTATAAACTGCCATAGGTTAGGAGAAATTAGGTGCCCCTAACTCTTTGAAAGAGGCTTAGAGTATGGAAGAAGATCAGGATGAGGTGCTAGACAGAAGACACTGGCTGCCGTCATTTCCAGACTTCCCTGGATTTCTTGGGAATGGGGTACAAACAGCTACAAGCGATGGGAATCTACCTATGTACTCCAGCCATGTACTTGAATTGCATCCCATAGTATAGCCAACTTCTAAGGCAGGGATGGGGAAACAGATATTGATGGACTCTAACTTCCAACAGTGACAGCCAGCATGGCCAAAGAACAGGGACGATGGGACTTATAGTCCAACAACACCTGGAGGGTGAGAGGTTCCCCATCCGTGCTTGAAGGTTAGGGTGACACTTTGAATGAGAAGGTACACTGAGTGTTTGTAGATTGGTGCCACAATGAAAACTTCTCACTCGCCTAGAAGTTGAACTGAAGTTTATGGTGCTCCTGCTCATAATCTATTTGACTAGCTGAAAACCCTGCAATTCCCTTTCCATGAATAATCCATTAAGTTCCTGGATGTTCCTAAAACAAATATGCAGAGGCTAAAACAATCCGTATTTTCAGAATATCTCTTCCTTAAACAAGAACGTAATCACATGCTTTAATGCCCTATACTGAGAAATTCTTCTAAACGGAATCTTTACTAGCAAGCTCTATTTGTACTTTAATTAACACTGTCTGCATTAACTACCGGTAACTTCCTTGTTCCTGGTCTTGAGAAAAGAAAAGCTAGCTAAGCACCGACCATTGATTTGTTTCCTTTTTTTCTCATTGCAGGATTAACTGTACATTGGCAAGTAGAGGGAGTGCAGGAGAAATTCTATTCAGTTCACATTTAAAGGTAAACCTACTTAATGTTCACTGTCCGAAAAATATGCAAACTGAAAAACAGCTGTCCTTTGAAATTTGCACTTTTCCAAATTTTGCAATGCAAACTGTGCATATAAATTTGTGTGTTAGGGATAATAATATACAAAATGCATTCTATGAGGGGAAATTGCTCCCCCAAAATATGTACAGTGGTACCTCGGGTTAAGTACTTAATTCGTTCCGGAGGTTTGTTCTTAAGCTGAAACTGTTCTTAACCTGAAGCACTGCTTTAGCTAATGGGGCCTCCTGCTGCTGCCGTGCCACCAGAGCACTATTTCTGTTCTCATCCTGAAGCAAAGTTCTTAATCCGAGGTACTATTTCTGGGTTAGCAGAGTCTGTAACCTGAAGCGTATGTAACCTGAAGCGTATGTAACCCAAGAGTGGCCAAGGGATGTAAAGATCACGAGGCTCCAAAAATAACAGATTCGCAAATCAAATTACAGGAATTGGTGGAGACGGCTCAACTGACTAGTAAACTCAGAGGAAACTCAAAGCAAAAATTTGCGGAAAAATTGGATGGTTATAGAAGATATGTTCAAAAATACAATAATAGTTTTGACTCCGTGCTAGCATTCGAGTGATAAAGGAACTAAAAGGAGGTGGACAACAATTAAGGATTTATTATGTTTTCAGAATGTATTAGAAAAATTATATAGAAAGGTTTATTGTTTTGTGTACATTCAAATGTAAGATAAAATATATGCAAAGGGACTTGACAGGAAGTCAAAGTTGAAGAAAAGATTTTGGAAGATAAAAGGGGGGAAAATATTTACTTTCATTATTATCATTTTGTGTGCGGGTGTAGGTGTGTGGGTGTCTGCACATATGTGTGTTGTTGTATGCAATGTTTGGGAGGAAATAAGACGGTAAATAACAAATAACAAACTAAATATCGATGTATGTAATTTTTATTTCTTAATTATATTTAGTGGTAGTATGGCTGTATTGTTTTTTGTAACATAAAATCATTCAATAAAAATTATTTTTTAAAAAATAATAACCTGAGGCACCACTGTATTGTAGACAGTCCAAATTGCACACCAAAATATGTATATTAGTAGCGGAGCCTAGTGTAAATTAGAGGTTATAGGCAGTGCTTTATATATATATATAGTAAAAAAGGTGCCAGCACTCACCATGAAGAAAAAAAGCACTGGTTATAGTGATGATGAAACTAAAGTATTGTCGTGCTGTAGATGAAGCTTTCTCAGCATAACTCGCCTTTGAGCTTATTGGCTTGGGGATGTTTCCCAAGGAAAACTGTCCTTTCTATAATGTGGTCCTTTATGGCATCCCAGGAAAAACAGATTATTGGAATTTTGCTCATAAATGATTTTACAAACAAGCTGTAATATCAAAATTACATCACAAGGCAAGCCATAAAGTATATGCAAATAACTATTTGGTTCAGCACCTGGCTTCCCAAAATGGCCAAGCAGAGGGTATAGTAAGCCCAAAAGAAGGACCAGCACAGAACCCATTCCCCACTGTTCTTCCCTACCAAGTGCTGTTCAGAGGCATACTGGAGGTAGTAGCATACAGCCATTAAGATTAGTAGCCATTACTAATGGTAATTTAGTGTGCCTTGAATTGGTCTGCTCACCATTTAAAGGCATCCAGGTCCATTTGGTCTGATCCAACAGGCCTCCTCTTTTAGTCTTAAAAGGCCAGCTTAGACATATTTGACCAATGGGAAGTTACTGAAGCTAAACTTCAAGGGCAAGGCCAAATGCTAATCCAATATGGCTGGCTGCTACATTGAAACCTCCCTCTAGAGGAGTCTGTCTTACCAGTTTAGAACTTTCCATCTTGGGGTTGGTGGTGTCTGCTGCACCCCCTCAGTACACCTGTAAGATCACTGTGCTCAGAGGAGCACTACACGGGACTTATTCAAGACTGTTACAGGGCACCCTGAGAGGTCAGTTGGATATGTGTTTTCCTTTGTTTTCAGTTCAGAGCATCAACTGTTCTCCATCACTAGAATGGATGAGGTACTGGGCTGAAAGCTCTTTCTGTAATGAAAATGCAAGTCTTTTTTGGCTCCCACAGATTTCCACAGCAGTTACCAAATGTCAGGGCCTGACCCAGAGTGTTCAAAATTGATGGTCCTGAAACTTCTCTCTGTTGCTGTTCATTAAGAAAAAGGAAAACTTAAGGGAAAAAATCATATTTTTTTTAAATAGCACAAATCCTATGCATGCTTCCTAGTTCAGCTTTTGCTAATCATTCATACAGCACAAATTTTCTCATTAAAATGAGTATCCCAGAGAGGCATTTGATAAAAAAAATACCAGAAGTATATTTGGAAACACATCAAAACGTCACAGTAATATCAGAATCTCTGTACGCTGAGTGTTGATTTATAAGTTCAGAAGAATCTTGTGCTATGGCTCTCCTGGGGACATACTGCTTGAGAATGTGGGCAATAGATTGCATAATTGAATGCTCCTCCAGATCAAGAATTCCACATACCTTAGAGAGATAGAGAAAGAGAGAGAGAGAATGCTAGTAGCAAGAATTCTCACCTGCTCTCCTGCCCAAAATGCACAAGAAGGTTTTGATGTAGTTGCTGCTGATGTTGTTGTTGATGATGTTGTTCCCTTCTGCAGGATGTGGATTGGGTTGTTTGCATGAGTAATTTACAGTTATCTCTATAAGCTTGTGGAATATTTTAGCCTGGACAGTGTTATCGAAGCTACTAACATGAGTTTGACCAAACTGCGAGAGGCAGTGGAAGACAGGAGTGCCCGGCGTGCTCTGGTCCATGGGGTCACGAAGAGCTGGACACGACTAAACGACTAAACAACAACAACAACAAATAATTCGCAAATGGAAGAAACACAAAAGAACTGTCAACCTTCCTCGGTCTGGGGCTCCATGCAAGATCTCATCTCGTGGAGTTGCAATGTTCAGGAGATGGTGATGAAGCAGCCCAGAACTACACGGGGGGAACTTGTCAGTGATCTCAGGGCACCATGAAAACAGTTGGTAACACACTACGCCATGAAGGACTGAGATCTTGCAGAGCTCGCAAGGTCCCCTTGCTCAAGACAGCACATGTACAGGCCCATCTGCAGTTTGCCAATACACATCTGAATGACCCAGAGGAGAAGTGGTGAAAGTGTTGTGGTCAGATGAGACCAAAATCGAGCTCTTTGGCATCAATTCAACTTGCCATGTTTAGAGGAGGAGGAATGCTGCCTACGACCCCAAGAACACCATCCCTACTGTCAAACATGGAGGGGTACATTATGCTTTGGGGGTGTTTTTCTGCTAAGGGGACAGGACACCTTCACCGCATCGAAGGGACGATGGACGGGCCCATGTATCGTCAAATCTTGGGTGAGCACCTCCTTCCCTCAGCCAGGGCATTGAAAAAGGGTTGAGGATGGGTATTCCAGCATGACAATGACCCAAAACACACAGCCAAGGCAACAAAGGAGTGGCTCACGAAGAAGCACATTAAGGTCCTGGAGTGGCCTAGCCAGTCTCCAGACCTTAATCCCATCGAAAATCTGTGGAGGGAGCTGAAGGTTTGCGTAGCTATACATCAGCCTCAAAATCTTACTGACTTGGAGAGGATCTGCAAAGAGGAGTGGGACAAAATACCTCCTGAGATGTGTGTAAACCTGGTGGCCACCTACAAGAAACGTCTGACCTCTGTAATTGCCAACAAGGGTTTGCCACCAAGTACTAAGTCATCTTTTGCAAAGGGATCAAATACTTATTTCACTCATTATAATGCACATCAATCTCTGACTTTTGTCTTCCGGGTTTCTGGGGGTTTCCCTGTTGTTATTCTGTCTCTCACAGCTACAATAAACCTACCATTAAAATTATGGACTGGTCATTTCTTTGTCAGAGGGCAAATGAGCAAATTTAGCAGGGGATAAAATACTTTCCCCCCTCATTGTAGCAGGTAAGTCACTGCTGTTTACTGAGAGGGTGGGGTGTGTTTTTGTTTACAACAGGGGCAAGAGGGTGGTGAGGTCAGTGCAACTGTCCTAGTGGAGCCAGTCCGGTGCTCCTGCTAGTGTGTTCTCACCCCATGGCCCTCTCCACCACCTTATCTCTTCTGGGAGGTCAGGTAAGTGCTTCTTCCCCAGCCCACCAACTGCTCCCAGTGTTATCATTAGCACTCTTACTTTGAAGCTTGATATGTGTTGGAAGCTGTAGATGCATTGATTGGCAGCAAAGCTCTTCCCATCGGATAGTAAAGATTTTCACTTTCACAACTTCTGGGCTTCTGAGTACAGATGGCACTTAGCTTCTCAAAGACAATTGGCTTTATCTTGGCTATAAATTGAGGAATTTCTTATGAGTGTGCTTTGATTTAGTCACATTGATTGCAGAAGCAATCTCTGTAGACTCTTAAAAGTTTAGAAAGGACCCCAGAAGCTATCCTCATTGGCTGCCATGAAATATGCACTTTAAGCTCTGCAATTGTCATTGTCCAGAAGCTCCTTTCTTGTATTAATGTCCTGAAGATGTAATCCCTCCTTTTCCCCACTTTGTCTACCTGGAAAGTTTTGAAGTTACCATTTCATTCTTAGCATTGCTTTCTTTCTTTCTTTTTTTGTATTCAGCATTGCAGTTGCAGACTGAACAGCTTCATACATTTCATAATAGCTCTAGTAGGTACTTTCAGCTTGCCTAGATTTATCTAATAATTAAGAAGCAGGTTTCGGCTATGGGATGCGTATTATAATTGGAGTAATTATGCATATGTTTGTCCACAGTTATGGCTTATGCTACGTTCACATTACTGACATTGTCAGTGGCTAAAGCAAATGATTTTCCAATACAGAGCCTTGTTGGTGGTAACAAACTGAAGATGTTTGCTATTACACACAAGCATACTTGGCTGCATCTGCTACTAACTGAATGGGGAGATTCCTGGAGCCTCAGCCTCATGCTGTTATTTATTTAGTTAGTAGATTTCTACTCTGCTTTTCAGCTAGAGTCCACAAAGTGTCTAACAACTAGGACTGGGCGGATCTGTCAATTTTGGTTTCTCATTTTTCTACTCTTAAGTTCAGTTCTCCTCATTTCCACCTAAGTATTTTGGGAGGAAGTCCTCAGGAAAATTCATCAGCATTTTAATGTGAGTGCTGATGTTTATTAAATTTGTATACCGCCCTTTGTGCATAGATCTCAGGGAGGTTCGCAACATCAGATTAAAATATAAAAAACACAATGTTTCTTACTAGACTCGTTTTTACGCAAGTTTGCCTACTATACTTTTTGCAAAGCAATTTCCCCTCCTGCAATGCATTCTATATATTATTTCCCCCAACATATGCATTTTTATGATCACTTTCCCTCAGTATCTGCATATTTGTACATCTTACTTGGCTGGAGAGCTACACTGCAACATTTGGAGAAGCAGGAATTCCAAATGATGGCTGTGTATCTGTTCTTCTATTGTTTTAGAAAGTGTGTGTTAGCTAGGTTTGCATTTAAAACCACATACTCACAAAACAACCAGCCCCACTAAACAGGAGACAGCCTCAGGTGTTCTTTCCCACAGGGCAGAAGTGATGTTGACCCAGAGGGTGGCAGTGGCAACAGTCTGACTGAAGCAGGCCCTGATGTCACCTGTGTCCTTGCTTAACTTGGCAAAACTTACCGTGTGTTGACTTGTACTGTCAAAATATAAATGCAACGTCTAAGAGCAGACAGTTTCATTTTGCAAATCAAACCACTCTTGTGGATATGATTATTCATCAGTGAATGTAACTGTGCAATCCTGCCCAGAATAGCTAGCAATTTATGATGGCTGTGCAAATGAAATCTAACTTTGAGGTAGGAAAAGTTTGTTTGTGTGTGTGTTGTCACAGAAGTCAGTAAGGGAACCTGGTAGAAATGGGTTTAGATGAAAGTGTAAATGAGGGCAATTCATAAAAAGCAGAGGTGCATGAAGTATTGGCTCCATGCCTGTTTCATGGCCAAACCATGAAATAGGTTTGACCATCAGGGCAGTGCCTCAGATTTTTGTGCCCCCCTCCTTCTCCTTTCCCCCCACATTCCAATTCTCTCCCTCTTGTCACAGGTCATGATAAATATAGCTTGCCATAATGTCTGAACTAGACCAAAAATCTGTATCCTGAAACACCGCGGTAGCTTCGAATAACAGCATTTTTAAAAGAAAAAAACAGAAAGCAAAACAGAAATAAAGCAAGTAACAGAGCGAGGTCACATAGAGAGTCTCTGGTTCCTACTGCAAGAAGATGGAACTATGGGTGGTCTTAATAACTCACCTTTGCCACTGAAGGTTGCTTTTGGCCCTGTTCCTGTTAGATGTCTGAAGTTACCACAGGTGGTGAACAACAGGAAAACCTGTGATGTGCTGCAAGTTTCCTCCCCGACTGCTCTAGGGTTAGGAGGCAAGTGATATTTCTGTTCTTGCTAACAAATAGCACCATAATGATTTTTCAAAACAGCTTTCAAACCACAGTAACATTTTTTTACTTTGTGGAATATTTGACAACATTTGACCAGGGTAAATACAGTGGTACCTCAGGTTAAGTACTTAATTCGTTCCGGGGGTCCGTTCTTAACCTGAAACTGTTCTTAACCTGAAGCACCACTTTAGCTAATGGGGCCTCCCACTGCCGCCGCGCCACCGGAGCATGGTTTCTGTTCTCATCCTGAAGCAAAGTTCTTAACCTGAGGTACTATTTCTGGGTTAGCAGAGTCTGTAACCTGAAGCGTATGTAATCTGAAGCGTATGTAACCTGAGGTACCACTGTAACAGGCAGTCAAGTGGCCACATTTAATTGACTCTTGTGCCAACCCTATACCCAGTTCCTACGTAAATCCTTTATTATCCTTGTCTAATAATCCTAGCATAACCACTGTCTATCCTACTGGGCTAGGAGGATGCACACAAATGGCCTGTGACAGGGAGAAGGTTAAGATCAAAGTCAAACACTGCAATCTAAGCAACATCTTGATAAAACCACAGAGGAAGAAGTACTATGGTCTGTGTGCCTTGCTCTGTTACGTCTGGAGGTCGGCCAAGATTCCTATCTATCTTCTATTAAGACATGATAAAAGTTTTTTAAAAAAAATTATGCATGGCATGGAGAAAGTGGATAGAGAAAAGTTTTTCTCCCTCTCTCATAAGACTTGAACTTGTGGACATCCAACGAAGCTGAATGCTGGAAGATCCAGGACAGATAAAAGAAAGTACTTCTTCACATAGAGGATAGTTATACTACAGAACTCGTTCCCCCAGGGGACAGTGATGGCCACCAACTTGGATGGCTTCAAAAGAGGATCGGACAAATTTATAGAGGCTAAAGCTATCAATGGCTTCTGGCCCTGCTAGCTGTGCTCTGCTTCCATGGTCAGAGGCAGTAATGCTTCTGAGTGACAGTCTCTGGAAACAGCAGGAGGGGGAAGTGATCTTGTGCTTCGGTCTTGCTTGTGGGTTTCCCCTAGGCATCTAGCTGGCCACTGCAAGAACAGGATGCTGGCCTAGATTGTCCTTTGGCTGATCCAGCAGGCTCTTCTTACGTACTTACATTCCTGTACCTGCCACCATTATCTCTTCTTTATTTGATGCTGAACCACCCTGTGTTATTTACTGTAAGTAGAAGCTCTGTAGTAAATGGGTGTCTGCCTGGTCTCTCCTGCCCTTGCTCGGCTGCCTGTTTCAGTGAGAGAGATACTGAAAGCCACTGTGTTTGTCCCCTGTTGCCAGTCACCTCAGTGACCTCATGCTGACACTGCCTTAAGTATCAGCAGAAGACAACCTGCCCATTGTGACTTCATGATGGTGATGATTGTCAGCATCGCCCTTGAGCCAGTGCCACCAACTGGACTCATCCACTTCAGCCCCGACTGGGCTAGGCGAGCTGGGTAGCACTTCCAGAGACCACCTTCTGCACAGGAACAGGTCAAAGTGCTGTGGACTCACAGCTTAGAGTTGTGAGCACCGGATTCACTCCAATAAGAAGACAGTCGTCGCACAGCAGAGTACAGCAGAGTCTAGCAGAGTATATAAACAACTCGGAGAGCAGCTCTGTAGAATATCTTCTTTATTCTATAACTACAACTATTATACAACTATATACAGAGCTAAATAGGTCTAAGCATAAATGAATGCTGCACTGCACTGAGTGTCTGCAGCTGCTCTTAGCAGCAACCTTATCTCTGCACACGATCTCTAACACTCAGTCTCTCTCTCTCTCTCTCCGACACTGACTGACTGACTGACTCAGTGCTGGAGCAGAATAAGTAGAGAGCAGAACACGCCTCCTCCTCTCTGGAGAATCAGCAGACTCCTCAGGAGATTCTTGGAGATGAGAGCGGTGAAATCTCCTCAATGATGATGATGCCTGAAGAAAAGAAAACACTGATTCTTGTACCCACATCTTGCTCATCACTTTCATGAAGAAGGTGTTGTTTTGCATCTCAGAACAGATGAAGTCTCTTAACTGTCTTTCTTACTCTCCCATCCTTCGGCCTTTTCTCAGGGAGGCTCCATGGCACCCACCACTGGTTTTTTGGACCTCTGGCAGCCGCCCTGTAATTTATGTTAGCTGCCACTATCTTTCTGTTACCTGCCATTCATTTCTCTAATGCAGGGCCAGAAGGCCACATTTCCTTTTGCCAAGCCAATGTGTGGAGAGGCAAGAAGAACAAAGAGGGTGCAGCAATGGATGTGATCCTTAACTTTGTTTCATGCTGGGGGGAAATTAGGAGAAGTGAGGCATTGACTGCTTCATGGCTCAAAGAGAGGTGCCAGTCACCATAGTTAGTTGAAGGAATCTTGAGACTCTCTGCTAGTCAACCACCAATACTGTTTATTTTATTTTTATTTTTTGCTAAGTGTAATACTTTTAAATTGACTGCATTTCTGAAATGAATAGTATATTCATTCTCTTTATCCAGAAGGACAAGCATGAGTAGAGACTCTTGCTATTGCTTTTACGAAGTACATAAATGTATATTTTTATATGCCCAGTGACTGTGACCAGTATGGGCCATGCAACCAGCAAGGAGCATGACACTGCCTATACATTACAGTATTTCTCATTTTGAGCATGTTCCAGTGAAAGTAAGCACCATTGATTTCAATGGAATGGGGTTAGAGGGCAATCATTGGAATGCAAAGGCCGTCTTCTACTCCCCACAGAAATGTACACCACCTACCGTGGAAATATAGAAAATATACATTTTAAGAAGTTTTGTAAAAGTTCTCTGAGGCTGGAGTTTCAAGTCATTTCATACAGAGTCTGAGCAGAATCTAAGTCAGTGGATGATGCGCAGGTAATAATTCATTTTTCTGCAGAGAAAATCAAATTTCATGTCCTTGCAAAATCTAGGCTTCTTTGAAATGTGACATCCACTTTTCATTTAGCAGATGATACAGATGCAACAGAACTGATGTGGCTGGAAGGATATTTTTGATGGTTGTGGTGGGGTGGGAGGGTTGCTTCCTGTGACACACCCAGTTGGCTACAAAAATTGGCAGAATTTGCCTGGGATGCTCAGTCTTGTTTAGCATGCTGGACAAGAGAGAATGACATGTTGTTTGCGGGATTATGATGTCCTCTAAACAGAAGGGAGATGGGAAAGACTTTTCTAGGGATAACGGATTGGTAATGCAACTTTTTTATTTATTTTAAAAAAATCGCTAGACACATAACTCCTTGTGAGTCTTGGCTTTGGATATAAGAGAAGAATGCTCATCTGCCTTGTCTGTCACAGAACTGAGGTGTGCTTAGCACACCCAGCCCAAGGAGGACAAATGGCTGGTAGTTTAGTTCTTTATTGACAATGCACACACTTAACAGTAGCTCCAAGGTGCACAGAATACACACGCACATGCTTCTGGCGAATAAGTAGTTGGCATCCTATCCCCCAGGCTTGTGCTCTGAGCTGGATTGTCAGAGCAACAGTGTGACCCCCCCCCCCAAATCTACATCTTATGGCACGCACACAAGCAACCTGAGACTTTAACTACACAGACGTTGCCGTCGTGCCTGTCTCTTCAAGCCCCTCCTGGTCCTGGAGGACAGTGGAGAAGGGGACAAAGGGGATTCTACTGCCCCCCTTACAGGCACCATCTCTTCCTCTGCTCCTAGTCACTCTCTTCCCTTCCATCCAGCATTGGCTTCACCAGAGGCAAAACACTCCATAAATCGCATTCCCCTGGGTGGGTCAGCCTCTGGCCCCATGGCCTCCATCACCCACTCCTTAGTGCCCTGCCAGTCCTTGACAAATAACATTCCCCTTTCATCCATTTGTCCTTTGTTTTTGTTTTGTTTTTTAAAAATGTTCCCTTGCTGAGCAGCAAAGTGCAATGACAAGAGACTGTGAATTAGTTACCTAGAAGGACCAAGGGCTTAGGACACACACCATCCTGGCCAGTGTAGAATGAAAAAGGTAGAAGAGTATTTTTGTAAAATGGATGGGGTGGATTGGTTAACGTCTGAAATACCTAAAGAAATTAAGTCCATTTTGCTTGGCTAAAGTCATGGGTTTCCCCAGTAAGTTGACCCAACATATTGAGTCCTCCTTGGAGTCCAGATACATTGCTGTGTATCATATATGCATGCATACTTAATTCAGTTGCAATCAATCAAGTGTCATGTTGTCTGTAGTTAATGGATATTTAGCTTCATTTTATGCAAAACAAAATAAACATTTTTACTATGGAGAAAAACCTGTTGTTGGAAACCACAGGAAAGGAGAGTGCTTTTTTGTTCTGGTCCTTTCTATGGGTTTCCCATAGGCATCTGATTGATCACTGTGAGAACAGGGTGATGGACTAGATGGGCCATTGGCCTGACCCTTAAGACTCTTTTTATGCATTTAAACATGAATAGGATTGTGCTGTAAATATGTTTCTTGGTCCTTCTGTGTCCTTAATTCAAATAATAATTGAATCACTGGAGTGTGACTGTGCTTCTGTAGGTTTTGTTGCCAGCCTATTGGCCAAGACAACATTGGCTCTTTCTAAGGAACCTGCCAGTTGTCAGATTCAGACTGAGTTGGGAACAACTGGATTCTCATATATATACAGAAAACCCATTAAACCAAAGTCACTCTGATGCCAGTCATTTTCTGTTTAACATTGTGTATGTGTTTTTAATATTTCAAAGCAGTAACGTTTGAAATTATTGCTTAGTTTTACATTTGCTAGGAATATCTAGGAAAATAGTTTGTATGAAAACAGAGTTGGAATTAACAAATGAATTGCCATAAAAGACATTTCCTGAGAGAGATTAATGCACGCACCAAGAGTCTAAACTTCCTTCATAGCCGAGCACTGCAATATATTTGTTAGTCATTTTTCATTGGTTCCATTTGACACTGTTAATGATTTCATTTCCTCTGGGAGGAGTTCTAGTTCCCAGTTGTTACATCTCATATTTATTGGGCTCTCAGTGAGAATTGTATTACCTTCAAACAATGCAAATAACTCATAATTCAGATTAGTCACTTTAAAAGAAAATGGAGAACTGCAACATTAAAAGTTTGGTAATGGGCCCATTCCTGAGTTTGAAAAAGGACTCCTGACTCTTGGGACTATGGCACTAATGGGAACTGACTGGCAAATTAAATAATTTGTCAGGGTCTACTATTACATGGAGAAATGTTCTTCTTTTAGTAACTCAACACTTTAAAGCAAAATAATGGTGATGTAGTGGTGTCATTGGGTGGTGGAGAAGGAAACTTTTTTGAAAAGCTAATAACTTAGAGTGTTCCTGAAGCAAAAGAAAGCATTGTTTCAGTACCTAGACTGTGAATCAAAAAACATAATTGCTGAGTGGTAGAAACATCTGACCACATCTGATGTATTACTTTAAAGCCACCGCAAGGGACAGGAGAGAGGAAGTCTGAGTGCCTCACACTTCCTCCACCCCCACTTCTGGGTCTAGTTCAGATATGCTTGTTTCTTCCACCTATGGGGATATTTACCTTAGACCTGTAAGTGTGACTGATAGGGGAGGAAATAGAACTCCAGGTTCTTCTCTTGCTGCTTCTGCAATAAGTGAAGTTACAGGGAACCAGCAGAGGGCCTTCTCAGCAGTGGGATCCCTCCGGTGGAACACCCTCCCATCAAATGCCAGGGAGATAAAAAAACTGTGCACCTTTTAGAAGATATCTGAAGGCAGCCCTGTATAGTGAAGTTTTCAATGTTTGATGTTTTTTATGGTTTTATATGTGCTGGAAGCCACCCAGAGTGGCTGGGAGGGGAATAATAATAATAATAGATTGGGACATGTTACCAGAAATAATATTTTAGCATGTGTGTCTCTATATGTGTGTGAGTGAGAGTGGTGCACAATGTACACCAAAACCCACACATGGCCATGTGGAGAGCCAGGGGAATATGTGGCCCTCCCAGACCCTCCAAGTGTCCCTATATTCCAGGGATATCCCTGATTTAGAGAAGCCGTCCTGGTTTCTGATTTGATCCCAGAATGTCCCGCTTTCCCTTAGGATGTCCCTATTTTCATTGGAGAAATGTTGGAGGGTATGGAGTTATCCACCCCCCGAGCCATCTGAAAGCAATCCTGCATAGGGAAGTTTTTTAATGTTTAATGTTTTATTATGTTTTTATATATGTTGGAAGCTGCCCAGAGTGGCTGGGGCAACCCAGTGAGATGTGTGGTGTATAAATAGTAAAGTTATCATTATGGAATGGGACGTCCCTATTTTCATTGGAGAAATGTTGGAGGGTATGCCCTCCATATTTGTGCTCCCAGTCCCTAGCCTAGCATGCCCAGTGGTCAGGAAGGGTTGCAAGACCACCATTTCCACAGTAAGTGTATGTGTAAAGCAACCTTTAGCCTTCGTGCATGGATCAGGAGCACTGCCCAGTTTGATGTCTCTCGTTCACAACAAGGAAAGATTGAGGTCAAAGTATTAGAAGTATGATAGCTTTATAAATAATTGCACACTGCTGCACATATTAGATCATGCTGTGCCAAGAATACAGTCTCATGTGATACTGAATAAGGAATGCCGTGCTGCAGAGTATTTTAACTATAAGCCACATCCTGGTAAGTGGACATATTTAAATGCCTATTAGAGAGGATCCTAAATAAATATCTTGCATAGGAAACATACCAGCCTCATTTCTTTTCCAATGCATGACAGGGATACAACAGAAAATTTGTTTACTGTAGCAATTTGTTAATCAATGTATTCATAAGACCATTAACTAACTAACTAACTAACTATATCTATCTGAAAATACAAATTCTACTTCATATGATGGTTGTGTTTATTGAATTTCTGTATCAGGCGCCCTCAGAAGAGAGTCAAGTGTGAAATTATTCTTCTGAATTTTGCCAATGGGTGGGTAATGATGACTAATGGAAGATGTAAAGCGAAGCATGATTTATTCATGCACTGTGTCTCAAAACTGAATTATCTTTCCTCCAGTTGTTTCCTCAGAAAATGCTAAGAATAAGGTAACTTTCACGACATCACACATTTAGCTAATTTCAATATGTGGGAGGGATTTGTGCCTCCTATGTGACCCTCTCCTGATAGAGGTTGTCCATCAGGGCCACCAAGACAGATTTAATCCTGCACACGCTGAACCCACACAGTCACACAGAGAGAGAGAGAGTTTGCTTGCGTCTGCTTCTGTATTAGTGATCTAATAGACTCCATTCACTTTTGGAGTGAAATAAAGCAGCTGTATTTGAGGAACTTCTCAAGGAGGAAACAAGGTAAGGCATGAGGACTGTATACCACCACCACCACCACCACCACCCAAGATGCAGAGAGGGGGGGCAATAAGCTAATGTTCACCAAGGGCAGCAATACAACTTGACATGGCTCCAATTGGACAAACTGGAAGCTGCCCATCCAGTGGTAACTAGTGACTTGAGCCATAGTTTGTTCCTAATATATAACTAGTAGAAACAATAGCTTTAGTTTAACTGATGGTACTAATGATAGAAGACCTCTTCGACTGGTTACTTCATCAAGCCACTTTCCTCAGTTTTCCCACAGTTATTTCAGGTAGCAGCTGTCTGCAATCAAAGCATTTGGCTAATGTTCTTATTTTTGAAATATTGCCAAACAGCTTAAAGACATCTATTTGTCAATATTAACAGGATGAAAGAAATGCAAACTGCCCCTATTATGCATAATATATACAGACAGAATGCTAATAAATCCTGCAAATTGCAGGGGATATTGGGTAAGATCCAGCCACAGCAAAGCCCATTTATTTTAGCAGTACAAAGTTGCAAATACATGCTTAAGGAAGGCTGCATTTCTGTCCATATTTGGGATCTCAGTGAGATTCCTGAATAAACATACATAGGACTGGGCTAAATGTCTCTCCCACTAGGATGGTGACTTTTAAAATGTTTAACATTTGAAAGGATCATGTCCATTCTCTTTGGCTTTTTCCATTCTACATCCCAAGCTGCTCTAAAGTTTTATTTTTGGAATGGCTTTTAAGCAACATTTTCTTTTAAAGGTCTGTGAAAAAACATGGTGTGCTTTTTAGCAAATCAAAGCAGGTTAATTTGCTCATAAAATACTAATGGCCTCCTATGGAAAACAACAGCATACAGCTCTTTGGGATATGTCTGCCCAACCATACAAGTTTTCTATTGTTTTCGGTAGCAGTAAAGGTCATATTCTGAGAGAGTTGCTCTCCCCCCTGCAGCTTATGATTTCAGCTAAAATAAAAGATGAAGCAAGGAAAGGAGGACAGCACCGAAACAGAAGAGAAGCAAAAGAAGAGGTGGGGCCTTAAAGCTTTGCTAAGATATCAGGGTCCTATCCAATGCTACTGTTCCACTAGCACACAGCAAAGCTAGTGCCAAATGTATTGCTCTTTTTTTCCTTTGGACCACATAGTGAGGCCTAGAGGGGTTCTTTTTGTCTGGGAAGCCCAGGACCTCCATACACACTGCCTAGACTTGAGCCCTGGGGAGGTCACTTTGGTGCTGCTAATGCAGCAGTTTTAATTTATTCCCGGAGGCACACTCCATTGTCTCTCAAGACAGATGAATGCCAACCACAGCAGCAACAAATCTTATGAAGACTGACAGTTGCATCCAATGCCACGCACACCAAGTTCCACTTGTGCAACAGAACTTCCCCTTCCTCTCCTCTCCACATGCCTGCAATATCTGTTCTGGAGGCTCCTCCAACCCTCTGGAGCAGATTTTGAGGGCGTGAGAGGGGCTGCAGGGGAGAAGAGGAGGGGATACTTTCAGTCTGCAAGTGGATGTCTGCTGTGTGCTAGAAGGAACATGACGTATGTCATTGCCCCCCCCCCCCGGGTACTACCACTCCCCTAATACCCAAAATACAGTTCTGGTAAAATACTAAAAAATGTAAAGTGTTTTTCATTGATGTCAAAACTTTATTGCCTATTTTTGACAAGTGCTCCTGAAGAAGCTTGTTTTGAACCATAGCACCCTGGGCTTTTACAATAACTTTTTAAACCAAAACTAAGGGCCATTTCACACATTTTGCATGGCAGGGCTAGTCTGATACCTTGGTGCTTCTACCTGTACTGTGGACTTGTTTGTCAGTAGCAGGCAGTGGGGTGGGGTAGCAGTGCAACCTCTGATTGACTACATCGTTGCTGTATACAAGGATGGATAAAGAGAAGGGCGAGGTGGCAGCAAGCTCAGCACAGTGAGAATGTTCTGGCGACGCCAAACCATCATTCCCACAAGTCTGTTTGCTCCATGCTGGCCTTACCCTTCCCTCCAGGTGTTTAGGAGCAACATGGGTGACTAGAGGTCAGGTGAGCATCACTGCTGTGCTCCACTGTTGCTTGTTTCCTTCATGTTTTGCATATTGATGAGCAAATTTAAATGTAGGTTCTAATCAAATACACGGAACGTTTGGCTGGTACACATGTAGCCAGCATCTTTAGAATGCTAAAATCCTGTTGATTGTGGTGTGAAAGGAGACATTTGTATGCATGGATTGTACCTGGCTCTACTCCTGAAGAGCCAATCAATAGAATTTTAGATTTTTAAGAAGGGGCTGCTGAATTAGGGAGAGAAAGCTGGTCGTGCAACACCCAGTTGTATATCCCTCATTCAGCAAAGGCAGGGATGGAGATCCTATAGACCCTCTCGAGATTTGTTGGGTTCCAGTTCCCAGCAGCCTCAGCTAGCATAGCCAGTGATCAGCAATGGCGGGAGTTGAAGTCCCATGACATCTGCAGGGCCACAAGTCCCCTATCCCTGACCTAGAGACATATATGCAAAAGTCTGCTTTCTCACACAGGTACCTGGGTGGAAATGTGCCAATAAGCTGAAACAAACTCAGGGCTACTTGTCCGACTCCACTTTTTACCTGCCAGTGTTTCATCCTCCTATCCCTTCGGAGTAGTTGCAGTTCAGTGATTCTGTGGTTTTCTTCTTTCATTTTCATTTTCTTTTGCGCAGGAAAGTCAGGCACAGCAATTTATTAACAATATGTGATATTGACAAGAAAGCCAAATCATCCTCTAGGTGAGTGCTTGTGATTGATGTGTAACTTTAAAAATTGAATTTGGTATTGCAACTCACCCAGGTCAATTTGTTTAATTGTATTAGAAGATCATAAACCAGACAGACAGCAAACTGTTTTAGCTCTTGCAGTGTGGTGTGTGGCCATAACTTAAAAACGATAAGTGACTTATTGAGGTACATAATTGAATCCTGAGGAATCTCATGCATCATGCCCACTCCACTGCCACACAGTCTTCTAGTGATCTGTAATACCTGTTCTGTTGGATGGAATATGGTTCAGTGAGCTTGAAGATGAAGAAGAAATAAAAATAAAAGGTGCAGATGTAGACGAAAAAGAGAAAATTGGCTTAGATCTGCAGCTAGAGTTTGCACACACACACACCTGCTCTTTTTATCCTTTCAGATAAAATAGAATCCAAACAACATTATACGAGAGGAAAAGAAAAAGAGGATAAGCAATCTAAAGCTACAAGGTCCAATTCTAAATGTCTACCTCAGCTAAAATCTTAATTGATTTCTGTTGGACCTTTGTCACGCAGAGCCTATTAAGTCAAGAGTACTTGGATTTAGTCTTACTGAGAAATAATCTTTATCCAATGGAATAAGAAAGCGCAAGCAAACCTATTTATTCACTGTTGAATGAGCTACCCTTGGGGACTTCCGGGGTGGCGCCATCGGCAATGGTGGATTCCCTCTGAACTGGAGGGACCAGCTCCACGGGAATCGGGTCTTTTCCACCACGGCGAAGCGGGGACCCATTCAAAAATCACAGGCAGATGAAGCCTGTGACCATGGGACTCGGCGGGCACCCTTAGCACCCCCCCAACCCGCAAAAGAACCCATTAATGGGCTCCAGAGCGAAGAGGGGGAAGTGGCGCGGTGCTGAGAGTCAACTGCTTCTTCCGTGGAGCGAAGCCGCACAGCCGTTGCCGGAGAGCGCTGCCTTTTTCCTGGGACAATCTGGCTTTTAAAATAATCACCCGTGAGTACCTAAACTCGGACAATTGGACTCTAAATAAGGACTTGTGAGCAGAAAGGAAAATTGGACTTAAAAGTTTACCTTAATTTGGTGCTGAAACGGGAAGGTCTAAACAGGAAGTCAGCCTTCCGTTTCTTTGTAGCTAGATTAAAGCAAAGACATGGCAAACTAGAGCTCAGAAAATTGCCTGTAAAAGATTAACTTTCATCATTTAAAATTGTTGAACCCCCTTCGGAAGCAGGAGAAGAGGGGGGATTTTTTCAGACTGTTTAAACCTGCAGAAGTGAGGGTAAAGTAAAGTAACTTTCCACCGTCCTGATCCTGGAGCGGGGTGTTAGGACTGACGTTTTTTGAAGCTCATTGACCAGAGACAACGTTTTTGACAGATAGCTATAAGAAGAGAAACTTTGACTCCATTGTTCCCCTTTGCTTCTTAAAGGAACAAATATTGACAAAATATCTGAAAAAGGAAACTTTGTCGCTAGACTTGTCTTTAAAAGAAAGAACAAATAGAAGTTTTTCCCCTAGTGGGAGACTGTGAAACTGTAACCAACTGTAGCCAACTCCGGGGAGCTGGCAGCTGTTACAGATTACAATCGTGGGAATAGACATCTGACCTTGCAGGACAATGTATTCAGAAGCTCTGTTGTGTGCTTTCTATAAAACAAATGCCCTACTGGAACAGCTACATGAGAAGACAAATTTGATGGCTGATTCGATTAGAAATTTTGAACAGGCAGTGGGAAATTTTGAACAGGCAGTGGGAAAATATGTGGAGCCCACCCAGGAATTAAATCAGGAGTGTGCCTTGACAGAACAGGCCCAACAGGAACATAAGCTTTCGGATTTGACAAATGAACTTGGAAAAAGCCAGATTTGGAAAGAAAAAGTTTGGTTTGGTCTGGAAATGGGGGGCTGGATAGACCCCCCTATGCAGGGATGTTTGGACTTTCCAAGGCTGGCAATGGGCCGTGAGATGTTTGGGATTGTGGGGGCTCTTAATTTTGGAGGGATTCTGAAACACGTTTTTAAATACCACATGGAGTTTAGTTTGGACTATGGAAAAGGGGCTGATCTGTTGAAAAGGGTCAAAAACATTGTTAAGCTGGAGCTCCCACGAGTGAAACTAGCAGGAGACAAGGGAAAATACAGTTACAAATATGAAGAAGAGCTGTGGAAGGGACATGGAAGAGACTTAAGGGCCTTGGATATAAGGTTACCAGGTTAATGCGCTAGATCGATGGGAAAATAAGGACTGACAAAACCCGGGACCAGGAGGAAGGGACGCTGGATGAAGATTGGTTTCTATTTCTATTTCTACTACTAGGATTGTTTTATAAAATTGATGAATGTTAGAAAAATGTTGGAATGAAATTACTTGGCTTTAGTAAAAATGTTTAAAGAATTATGTAAGAATATTATGGTTATGAGAAGTTGGTAAAAATAAGATTTAAGTTTTAAGTTTCAAGGTTTTTATAGTAAGATAAGATTAAAATAGTTTAAGGTAATGTAATGACAGAATTTTATGAAATATGGAAAGGATTTGCTGCAACAATTAACAACTAGGATACAAAAAAGGGAGGAGGAGGAGGTCAAAGAAAGAAGGTAATGACAGTTGAGGATTTGAGAATAATGGATTTGTTTTTAAAAGTTTGTGGTGTATTTTTGTTTTTTTGAATTATTATTTTTTGTATTGTTGGATGTGGTTTGTGTTTTTCTTTGTTCTTTCTTTGTTCTTTTTCTACTTTGTTTTCTTTTGTAACTCTAAAAAAAAAAATTTCCAATAAATATCATTTAAAAAAAAAGAAAAAGAATGAGCTACCCTTGTTCTTCTGCCTTCCTCCCCACTGTGGATTTTACTTTTAAGTATGGGTTATACGTGCTGCTTACTTGTACTGGATTCTCTGCTTTCATTTGAACCCTTGAATCTATCCTGTTGTATCATAGCCACAAAGAAGTACGGAATTTGCTTAATCTATGCAAGGGAGAGGGTCCCTCCCTCCTCACCTTGCATGGAAGAGCTTTCCATGCAGAGACCCCTTTCCCACAGCATCCAAATGAGCAGTTTGGTGGGGAAGCAGAGAGCAAGGGGTGGGGATAGCCTGTGTAAATCCTCCACTCCCATATGTTCCTTGTGAACCCTCCTACTGTAACATAGGTGTCGTCTCCTAGGGGCCAAGGCAGTTTTGGCACCACATTTATTTTAGGGATTGGACCCCCTCACTATTCAGAGGAAGTCATGCAACGTCGTGCTGCCGCCGCCCTCCAAATCCTCTGGAAAAGCTGGCACCTCTGTACTGTAATATTGTGATATGATCACATTAGCTTTCAATGTCTCATTGGATGGAATAGCCCATGTCAGTAATATAGGAATGAGAAAGAAGGGCAACAATAGCACTGAACAGGATTTTTTTAAAAAAAATAATGCTAATAGTCTCACAGCTAGAGCATTTGGAGATGGGGACACTGCCTCCCCAGCTATTTCAGCTCGTTAATAATAATGGAAGACATTTCAGACTAACTGCAATATTACTTAGTTTTTCCTTCTCTTGATTCTGATGTGATTCTGTCTCAGGGGAGGGGGGAATCAGTGTTGACCAACTTCTGACCCAACCTCAAAAGGTGCAGACCCTCTGCCCACAAAACCTTCATTAGCAAATGGGGGGTGAAATGTTTGTTAAATGGTAGCAAACATTTTGTGCAATATAATCAGAAGAGAAATGCTGTATCCATCCCAGAATGTGTTTGTATCGAGGATGTATGATTTGCACTGGTGTCTGGGTTCTTTTCTTAAGGCTGAACAAATATTCAAGTTCACAGTACATAGCTATAGCTGTCTAAGTTTAGGTGATAAATACATAACATACTCTTGTCACACTGTATAGATAACATCATTTAACTGAACCCACAGAGCTTTATCTGCAGGTAATTGAAGTTATAATTACAATGGTGTAGTACTTTTATAGAGTGTAGCTGTCACCTAGGAAACCAGCGGCATACAGAATAAAAACATACCTATAAAATACACAACTGGTAGAAGTGAACATCTAAGTAGCAATTGTCCTCTAAATATAAAAACACCAACTCTTGCGGCGCAAAAGGTTGCTTTCAAAACATTATTTCCAGAGAAAATGTTCCCATTAAATTTCTCTAGTAGCTTTTGAAATTGTTACTGACCACGTTTGTCTGTGTCTGGATTTCTACAGGCCTCCCGGCTCTTTCACGCGTTAGCCTTTTTCTTGATTTGTGTGTATTTTCACATATTTCCACGTTTCATGGCCTGACCTTTATAGAGATACTGGCACCTATACGTGCGCAAAGAACAAGATGGTGAGTGTCAACTGCCCTCTGGCAACAAAATGCTATCCAGCCCTAGCACTGATCAGAGAACTAAGGTTTCTGGGAGTTTGTTCCAGCTGTAAGATCTCCAAGAAGGCCAGGCTATTGCAGACCCACCTCTTTCCTTCTGTGATGTCGTGCCTGTTTCCTGTGCATCTTCTTTCCTTGCATCGTCTTCTTCAGAACTGTGGTATGGCCATTCAGAAGGTCCATTCAGTGTCACTGATGCTTCCTGGACCCTCCTGCTATACTGTAGAAATGCTGGACAAGTCACCTGCACAGCACTGGCAGGGATGGAATGGCAAGAGTCACAGATTTTTTTTGTGTGTGTGACTTTCTTTGGGCTTATTGGTAGCTTTCTCAGGACTATGTAATAAAACATTTAGTCTTCTCCCCATTTCTGTGTTCCAAATCTAAAGAGAACCTCTGCCCTTGGTAGAACACAGGGGTGGGGTAGCTTTTTATGTCTGAGGCTACATTGCCTTCAGGGTCCTGATGAACTCTTTGGAAGATGCATCCTGAAGGTAGGTGTAGCCAAAGCAAAAAGTTGGTGTGGCCAAAGCAAGAAAGTGCTTGGAAATGAATTTTGTAATGAATGACAGGCTTTCCTCCTCTTGCAGTTTAGAAGGCAATCTAAATTAACTTGGAAGACCCTCCTCGTTAACTTGCAACCCCCTGCCTCCATTTAAATGACCCTGAGAGGCACTTTTATGTATATTTTTATGTAATATCTACATTTATGTTCTCAGATATCTCTTTACATAATTTGCTCTTTATATTGATAATGCACATCTAGTGTTCTGGAGAGGGTTACAGAGAATGTAGGGAAAGTAGTGTAGAGGAAGAAAAGAGAAGCACTGGTTGCTTACACAACCATTTGTTAAAAACTATATAAATAAATGGCAACAATTTAATTCTATTTGACACTGAATTTGAGTTTCAGATAATGAAATTGCATTAAAATTTGAATGCCAACGTTTTGAAATTTTGCCTAACCTTGTTCAACTCTAATTACTAGTAAAGTTACATTTGTAATGCAATTATGTTGTGAATTGTTAATGTAGCCTGAGAACTATATCTTGCTTCTCTTCCTTGGTGGGAGGGTGGACCTTTAAACATTCTAGCCCTGTGAAGATTGTTTTTAGAGTTTTGACCTTGGCTAAATGTAATGCATGATTTTGTCATTCAACATTAGCAGATAAGCTTTCAAGTAGAACTCAGATACAAAGGCTAATATATTTTTAAATATACTTGGTTTGCTCAGTAATAGAAATGATTAATAATGTAATATTAGGAGAGCTAGATTCATCAATCATAATGAACACAGAATTTGGCAGTAGATATAAAATGTTTTACAAGTGCTTAGAATGGATAGACTTGCAATGGCGTGATAATAAAATGGTATGATAAGAATGTGAATCATTAACACTTCTAGTGGTATAGTTCCCCATATGTAGAAGTAAAAAAAAAAAGTTTGCTGGAAATGAGATGAAAAAATGATTAAAATGAAAAATGTAACTGCATTTATCTTCTGCAACATTGGATTTGCTGTGTGGAAACATATGTAAACTCCTGTGAGATGGAACGAGAGCAAGATTAACCAGAGCCAAAAAACAGCTGGCAGATGAAAAAGCTAAAAAGGAAATGAGAATATGTTGTCAAGATGAAGAGGCAAAGAGCAATGGAGAAGATGGTGAGTGATTCTTGATTAAAAGGCAGATGGATTTTGAAATAAGTAGTAGCAAAAGAGCCAACAAAGACTAGATGGCTGGATGCCGTACATGGACGTTTTATGGAGAATTTGGGGGCAGGGGTGTCCCATGTTATGCTGGGATCAAGAAATTGTGGTGACCAGAGAAGAGAATCATGGTCACATTTCTGCAACCCTGATTATGCTGTTTAAATATATTCCTGTTTTAAAGTTGTTTTGTTTGATATTGCTGCCAAGAAAACATTGAATATCTCTTAGATAAATTGTGCAGATATAAATAACATGGAACATTGTGGAGGTACGAAAAGCTTGGAACCTTTTGAGTTGTGTGTATAGATGGGTAGTGCTGTGAGACTCTATTTTCTTTAAGAGCTGTCCACCTATATTCAGCTGGGTTTGCTGCTGAGTGTAGGATCAGAAGAAAACCTGATATATATATATATATATATATATATATATATATATATATGGTGTGTGTTTATAACATGTAAATAACAATGCTTTGCATTTATATAACTGCATTAGAGCTGGCTCCGCTTTCATTTTTGACTAAACCATGGTTAAATATGAACCTTGAAAACTGTGGTTTAGTTTTTAAAAATGGCAATGGAAGCTTTCACTACCCCCACCCAATGGAAAGTAGAAGGGGAGCACATGAGGCTTCCCACAGCTCATGTATGAACCTGTGGCCCTCCAGATACTCTCAAACTCTAACTTCGATTAGCTCCAGCCGGCATGCCCAGTGATCAGGGATGATGGGATCTGTAGTCCAACAACATTTCTGGAGGGCAGCAGGTTGGGAAGGCTAAACTAACCCTTGGTCTAAACTAAACCTTAGAATGTGACAGCTGCACTCTATAAAAGCACTACACCATTGTTGCAATTTTGCCAAAGGAGGCCAAGATAATAACTTGTTGAGTAAGATTTGAACTGTGGACTTCACGATCTGCAGCTCAGTCTCTTAGACACTATTTTGTATGAGCTATCAGGAAATAGGGATGGCTGAACCTGGACTAAAAGGACTGTTTACTTAGCAAAGCAAAAATGAATGCTATCTTTGAGAATATTAATGCATCTGGGTAGATGAAGATGCCCTGCTGTTGAAGGATGGTTTAAAAATAGACTCCATGTTAGCTTTTGCTGTGGAGTGGGTATCAAAATATTCTAAGTGCAATTTCTAAGTGTCAGCCTACAAATGAACAAATGTTAGAAATGTTTTTGTAGCTCATAGTGTATCCACAGGAATAAACATATTTGGAATCACGCAGAGTTACAGCTGCTGCTATATTCAGTCACTAGTCAAAGCAAAGACTAAGTGAACTAATACTGACACAGAGGGATAAATGCCATGGTAAGATACAAACAGTGGAAATTCTATTGAAGGTTTGCCTCACTGAAAAGAAAGTCAGCAAATTGACTACATAAACCTGACACACATCAACCTGACACTTATCAAAAGGATACTTGCCCCAAAGTGACACTCCTTGATTTCCTACATCACAAAGGGTTGTCAACAAGAGATACTATATTTCAAAGAAGCAACTGATTCATCACACACTGTCAATACAGTTTCTACAGAAAAAACCACACCTTTATTTGTCTGTTTTTCAAACTTTTCGCTATGGGTAATTTTGACATCATGGTTACTTATTTGACTCTTCTGTCAAAATCAGAGGCAGACATTTCAAAATGCTTATTTGTTAATAGTAGAATTGT